AAGTTTTTAGTTCTGGCAGATGCCCAACATCAAGGTAGTTGTAAACAGTCTCTTCCTTGGCAACCCGTCATACCAATGTAATCAGGAAGATACACTTTCTTCTTTCCAGATAGATTTTCCTCGACGATAACAATTGTTAGTCGAGAAGTTCAAGAATTTTGCTGGTCTCCGCTCTTGTAGATTGTTGTACGAGTTTCCAGGACAAAAAACTCTACTCAAACCTCAGTCAAAGAAATCGAGGCACAGTCCGACTGTAACAATTCCTGAAAAATTCAATAGGGACGAATCTTTGGCTCCCAAGGGTAGCACATGGGTGGGTCACTGTCGCCTGAAAGAACGGCTTGGATAATGCTCAAAGGGCCCAAAGATTGTCTTCAATGTATACCACCCTCAGATGAGGCTGAGTTTCAGAGGCCTTATGAGGCAACACCATTTATAATGGAGCACATGTATCCGAGGCTTGATCCATGGCTCGAAGCGTGGGCAGCAATGTTCCACACATTTCGCTTACTCAAGCCATATTTTTACGCAGTTGCACATGAATGGAATCTCGTCCAGAAGCCTCTTCCGTACCAATTCCGTGTCTTCTCTACAATATCGAACAGCAACCTACTCTGGCTAACTCCAAGAATGTCCACATTCTGCAAAGTCACCGGATTTTTGCTTCATGCATTTTTCACGAATGTTTCCGCAATTTGAGTTGAAAAGGGTATTACAAAATTATCGTGAACAGTGCCTCTGCCTCTTTCAGCCAGGATAACTTCAGCAATCTTGAGTGTGAGCAAATTTGTAGAGGTTTATTATTATAACCATTCAATCAACCAGTTTTGAAACGTCTAGTTCCAAAGAGGTAATGGCCAATGGCTAAGCCAATGCACAGTGAAAGACAAAGCCATACGGAAAATGTCATAAAGACCAACATCAACAGATATGCCATTACCGTTTGCAAAACATACAAAGCTACGTCAGTGTAATGAGAAGAGTTGGTTAAGTGCGACCACCACCTGAAATATAGTAATTTAAAGAGTTTAAAGGATCTCTTGATGAATTTATTGGGCCTCATCGCTAGCCAATTGCTCTATGGGGACAGCTGAAAAACGTAGTAGATAACAGTACTCTTGAAAATTCGATGCCGCGAGACTACTATCAAGGATCGGCCGTGTGATGTCCTGATCTCGCTCATAAAGACTTGGAATTACAGTAATATGGCAGGCTGCCGTGGCAAATCGGCATGTATTGCATAGAACATCTCGTACGGTGGTTTGGATGAGATGTCTATAAAAACACTTTTCGAATGGTGGGTAAGCGTAACCCGCCCGTCTGGTAAGCTCGCCCTACCAGGGGCTCTATATCGGCTCTCTGGTGAAACAGTCTAACCTTACTTCCACTAATCGAGTTATATACGAGTCATAGTCATAGTAATGGCGATCTGTGAAGCAATTGGGAGAGGAGTAAGTGATATTTTCTACATTTGTATTCATTTGAACAACTATAATCTTACGTTTTTTCCGCAGGACGACGAACTTCGTAGGCCCAACGTAGCCACCTAAATAGGCTCTTTCAAGGGTAATAATAGTTTACTCAAACAATCTACAAAAAAGATTTATTGTATTCCCATATATGGAGCAGAGACAAGGTGAAAAGGTAAATAATGCCTTGGATAAACCACTCAAATACTCATGGCAACTTCAGTGATAGCTTCCAATTGCTAACACTCTTGAGTGGGATGTAACTAGGGGTTCATATGGAAGATGATGCCATTTCATGAACCATTTCCCGGAATGGGACTTTTATGGCGAGTCGTAGACGCCATGTTATTCCCCAAGTTCTAATAACTCCTCAAACGACAGAAAATTCAAAGTCAGCTTGGCTGTGGAACTATCGCAAATGGAACTAGCAACGCGACCAGCTTCCTGTTGAACGGAATCTCTGACAAGTATCACCTTTTAAATTACTATGACAATTGTCCCGGATTTTTTATTCCAACAAGAAATACAATTATTGGAATTTGTGAATAAAAGTAACTACCTCATAGCTTCGAGTCCGATTGCAAGCATCACAATGATACAGCATGACCATACCATGGCTTAAATCAGAAAAAAACATAAGGTATACGAATGCCTAATTTTTCAAAAACTACTCTCGGAACTGAAAAATTCAAGTATATTGAAATAAGAATTAATATTGTATTATCGGCCCCGGACTGCTTTTTACAAAATCCATGATAGGCAGTTACTTGGGAAATTTTCCTTAGATCTGCAGGGAGCAAAGCTTGTGAAACGAAGAAGGAACAGTAGTTAACCGATGCTAAAAGTTTGATTCGCGGATGTGCACCAATGAGATAACAATGTCCCTTACCATTTCCACGCTTTTGTCATCCGACTAGATGAAAACCCTTTTGAGCAAACATCATGGATTTCAGCTCAAAAGAAAGATTCAGGAAAGCAAAATTACTTAGGATTCATCAAAATAACTCAGAAATAACTCTGCTTGCCT